TGTATATGGAGTGAGGTGTGGATCTTGTTTAATTCTTCTGCAGATAGTTTTCCAATTTTGCCAACACCATTTGTTAAAAAGGCTGTCATTTCCCCACCTAACTGATTTCATCTTCTTGTCAAAAATCAGTTGACCATAAATAGATGGACTGATTTCTGGGTTCTCAATTCTATTCCATTGATCTATGGATCTGTCATCGTACCAGTACCATGCTGTCTTGAGCACCATGGCAGTGAAGTAGGATTTGAAATCAGGGAGTGAGATGCCTCCTACCTTTTTTTCTGTTTTTAAGGAGTGCTTTGCTTATTTGCGGCTTCTTTCCATTCCAAATGAAGCTTGAGATTGCCTTTTCCATCTCATTGAGGAATGGAATTGATATTTGTATTGAGATTGCATTGAACGTGTAAATTGCCTTTGGTAGTATTGCCATTTTCACAACATTGAGTCTTCCTATCCATGAACAAGGGATATTCTTCCACTTCTCCAGGTCTCTTTTTGTTTTCTTGTAGTGTTTTGTAATTTTCTTTGAATAGATCCTTTGTGCTTCTAGTTATATTTACTCCCAAATATTTAATCTTGTGATTTGCTATTGTGAAGGGTATTGCTTTTCTTTGCTCCAGCTCTGTATTCTCTTTGTCACTGTAGAGAAATCCAACTGATTTTTCTATGTTGATCTTGTATCCTGCTACTTTACTGAATTGGTCAACTATGTCCAATAGTTTTCTTGTTGAGTCTTTAGGATTTTCTAAGTATACTATCATGTCATCTGCATAGAGGGATTATTTTACCTCCTCTTTCCCAATCTGTATACCTCTTAGATACATGGAATTAATTTTTGAGGAAAAGATGAGCTAGTAACTAATGTAGCTTTTTTTTTGCAGTGTTTTTGTTCTTGTATTTATTGTGACATGGAAGTTTGTAACTATATAGTTACATTGTGATATATTGTCAAATGTTTAAATATTTAAATTGAACTTTTGCTTTCATTTTGTACTTGGGCTTCTAGAGATAATTGTCCCATATTCATCTATACTTCTTGTAGTATTTTTTCATATAACTTCTTGTATAAACTTTATATTGTGAAACAACACAAAACTGACTTTTAATTGCAGCATACAGAATAGTTGAAACTTTAAAAAAAATCCCAAACCATTAATCACCATTGACCTATGCTCACTATCACTCCATCTTTTCAGATCTCCACTGGCTCTTTCCTAATTCCTTCAGCTCCTCCTCCTGCCCACCTCACTGTGTTGTCCTACTGATTCCCCCTCTTCCCACCATCAACCTCCCTGACCCCCTCACCTTTCCCCATTGGACTTTAACCCCACATTTAAACAGTTATCCTTCTTTTTTTTTTTATAAAATATATCCTTACTTGGTATTAACAGCTTTGAAAATATTTTCTTTTTTTAAATTCCAATTCATTCATTGTTACACATTTTCCTCCCTGTCCCCTTCCCCCCACCCTCCAGTTTGATTTTTTCTTTGGAAAAGAAGTTCTTTAATTGTAATACAGAACCCTTGCCCTGAACCACTGGTGGCAAACAAACACATGAAGAAATGCATCCTTCTATTTTTAGAATAATCATTTTAAGGAGTATCTGTCCTCATGATACTGAGTTAGTTCACTCAGCATAATGCTAAGAGTATCATGCTCTACCGATTGAGCTAGCTGGGCTTCTAGTAACATGCTCTCTAGACTTTTCCATGTTACATAATATTTTACAAAATCATTGCTCTTGAGTGTTGCATGGCATTCCATTGTGTGAATGTACTACAATTTCCCAATCCATTCATCAACTGATGAACATTTGGGCAGTTTCCATGTTCTTGCAATTATGAATAATGCTGTTCTGAACTGGTATACAAATCTCCATTTGTGTCTCAGTTCTACTTTCTTTGAGGTATTGTTCCTAGGAGTGGAATAGCTGGGTCATATGGAATTTCTATTTTCAGCTTTTTGAGGATATGACAAACTGATTTCCAGAGTGGTTATATTATTTTACAATCCCACCAACAGTGTATGAGAGTTCTCACCTCTCCACATCCTCTCCAAATTTTATTGTTTTTTGTCCTGCTAAACTTTGCTACTGCTACTGGGTTGAGATGGTATCTCATTGTGGTTTTGATTTTGAATCTCTATTATTGCTAGTGATTTTGAGCATTTCCTCATGTATTTATTGGCTACCTGAATGTCTTCCTCTGTGAAAGGTCCTTCCATGTCTTTCACCTATTTTGTAATTGGGTTATCAGTCTTTTTCTTGTGGAGGCACAGTAGTAGTCTGTAAACTTTCGTTAGGAGACCCTTGTCTGAAATTGCCAATTTTTTTTTTCTTAGTAGATTTCCTTTTCAAGAATGGTGAAGCTCTTGAAATGACTCTTGGGTTTGACTGCCAGGAATTAGAAACTAGTTAATGACTTTCTAGCTGAATGACTCTGGACAAGATAGCTAGTCTCTGTACCTTAGTTTTGTTTTGGTGGGTTTTTTTTCTACAATATAACATTTTTCTGTAAAATGCATACAGCAGTAGGTAACTATATAAATTCTGTGGTTAGGAATCTCTCCAAATTATTGCGGAGCAAAGACGTCAGTGTGAGGACTAAGGTGCACCTGATTCTGGAACTAGCCTTTTTAGTCACTTTTGTCAAGCATCTGAGAGCTGGCCAATGAATAAGGGTGACAGAAAATTTGATGCCTTAAACTTCAGTGTTGGAGAAGAGTGCTGAATATCTCATGGACGGTCAAAAGAACCGATATGTTCTGGAGAAGGTACAGGCAGGGTGCTCACTGCAGGAAAAGATGGTGAAGTTTTCTCTATCATACTTAGGGCATGTGCCTAGGAGAGGATTTGCAAGAGGGACATCATGTTTAGAAAGGTAGAGGGATGGGAAAGGAGAAGACAATCAATAAGATGTATGCAGCAATGGGCTCCAGTGTATCAGAGATCGTGGGGATGGTACAAGATAGGGCAGTGTTCAGATCTGGGTTGTTATGGGTCATACTCAACTGCACCTAACAACAACAACAACACTGCTGCCATCACAGTACTGTCACAGGGGTGTAGCTTTAAAAAACAGAAATTTATTATTGTACCATGAAGGGGACTAGAGGTCCAAACCTAATGAGTGGCTCTGATAAAAGGTCCTTCATGTGTATTTCTGATCCTCGGAGCTGACAATCCTTCGAGTTCCTGAGTTTGTAGAGTTCTGTGCATCTCTTATTGACAGATAGTGTCAGTTCCCACCTCCATTTTCACTGCTCCTATGACTAATCTATTCTTCTTACAATTCAGAAATGACTATGCTGAATAGAGGGGGAAATCCCCAACAAAAAAGTCCATGAAATCAAACTTGTTGCCATCAGTAGACTTTGCTTCATAATGATTTCATAGGATAGAGTGGAATTATCCCATAGAGCTTCCAAGGCTGCAGTCTTT